AAGGTATTCAAATACACGAAACCCATTCAGACTACACCAATCCCACCTAAAGTACCTTAAATAAAGACCAAGATTATCACCTAACCTAACCTTAAACAAAGCTCTTGGCACCATTCACATGAGGAACTTCAGGCACAGCTTATCACACGCAGGTATCTCTTCCTACATAATCAACAAATCCCACAAACAGACAGATGTTTGAGACAGCTATACTCCAATTCATTTCATCACAAATCTTCAATGGCAATCTCCTATTGCATTTCATGTTGCCTGCAAGTTGTGACATTCTTCTTCGAGCATGCTTTTTATACACCGGAAAAATTTATCATGTTACAGGCTTGCCTTTTCAGATGTTCCTACTAAACTTCCACAACATTAAATCTACTTCATAATGTGGGACTTCAACAACACTCCTAAAGTCTGACTACCGTTTTGTAAATTACGATACTTCAGAATCATAAATTATGTTCTCAAAATGTCACCAAGACCTCGTATGTTTACGGACTCATAAGGCACATAGTCACGTTTAACCCATGGACATGTATAGAAATGCCAAAAGAAGTTGGTGTAATGTATACAAACAAACACACTTAACAGGTATTAACACATACCTTAGTAGCCTTCAGCTGGGACATGTGCTTCTCATCCCACCGCTTTGCTTTGCGAGCCAAATCCAAGCTGCCACCAGAGATAATTCCAGATTTCTGGTAAAATGTGCCATCAAGAGCCACTGCCTAGAACACATGTACATATACAAGATACTGGATACTCTGCTGTGATGATTAATAAAAACATTAATTGTCTTCTTTTAAAACAGCAGGTTCAACATACGTGTGACCATAATGTGACTGAGTTAGCTTTGGCCAAGTTAAAAAATTGACAGGACAAGAAATATATCTGGAAATACTTCAAAGAACCATCTTGAAATGTCTGAACAATGACATGCTGAAGATTGAAAAGGTTTCTACAGCAAAGAGCAGAAATTATATGAAAAATATTACAAGTAATAACACATTTCTCGATCAATTTATAAATCAGTGACAAGAGTGGTGAAGACAGACAGTGATTCAAATTACCAGTACTTCATATTTCATATGATGTGTGAATGTTTTAGGTAAGCATGAACTCGTGATTATCATCCCAGCAGCGGTAATGTGACAGCACTGCCAGACAGTACTGGGTGCAGCCTAGTTCAGTGACTAAACACTAAATAATTTACTAAAACATTACAGAAATCAGTAGACCTTACGCCATTAACATAAACAAATATCCCAGGCAAAATGGCCTCCTCCATTCTGAAGACAGTTTTAAATTTGTGTTCACTCTCAATAACAGAGTGGGGTAAGTCAATGGTAATGCAAAAGTTCAATCAAAAATAAGGGTTTTAAGTTCCCAAATATGTTAGGGCTTGTTCTAAACAGCTTAATTTTCTTTCCAATCATCCTTGGGTGGGCAAGCATTCCAAATAATACAGCTCAAGTCATGTTATTTTTCACATTGCACTTCCTAGATTCACTGCATGTGGGATTTGCTAACATTCCTTACTGATCATGGAAATTAGACATGCCACGAGAATTAAACAAGGACTTCGGAAACAAGGAGTTGGTAAACTAACCACTCACTTGCAATATTCAGTATGAAGTTATTCTTGAAGTGTTCAATCCTGATGCCCCACTTCATGTTCATTTCTATTGCAGTACGTCACTCCTTAAGGCACTTCTGCACAGTTATCACGAGTCAACTCGACACACCAATACTTACATCATATCTGTTCTTATCCATTTCATATGCAACTTTCATGGCATCCTCAGGAGTTTCACAAACAAGGGCATTGTTTGTGGCAAACAAAACGGCTCGTTTAATATCCAGTGGATCATAGTGCAGCACATCAAAAAGCAGCTTCACATTACGAGGCTCTTTGATGCTCCTACACAACCAATAAATTCAGAAAAACGTATAACAAAGCTCTCAAAAACGAAAATCTTTGGTTTAATAAGATGCTATGCCACAGGCTGACCACCGCAAAATGATCGTGGTCTTGCTACTTACCGTAGTCTTTCTTTAAGTGGCTTGGCCTGAATATAATCAAGAGGAAGGAAGGTCTCCGGCTCCAACATCTGTTCCTTGAGATACTGGATGCACTGACGGGCCGTCTTCTCAGTGTCCACAACAATCGCTTCCATATACTTGCCAAGCACCTTTGTGATGGCAACATTGTACCTCTTGTGGATGGGCTGGCACATGTTGATCATACGGTCAAACTACAACACACAAATTTCGATGGTGCCTAATATAAAATTACGCTAAAGAAGAAAAACTCATACGCTGCAATACCTGTATGGACTACCGCTATTAACAGAAAATACACTCTACACTGCTGTTGATATGTCAATACAACAACCACTGACATAAGAACTCTCTCTCCACTCGCTAATACATCAATTAAATAGTCATTTACCCAGATTAAAAAATTATTTATGGTTGCAATTCAATACAATTCAATATAATATTCATCGCCCTGATGACGGAGGCAGTATGACCTCAGAAACATTGGTAACCATCGACCAGACTACACAGCGCAACAACCCAGAAGACAGAAATCTTCAATACAATTTAATTGGATTATTAAACAAACAATATCACTGCAACCATACAAGAGCCAATGCAAGCCACACATATTAAAAGAGGTGGGGGTGACTATTGAATTGTGCACTCCAAACCTCAGTGCACAAACTCTTCACTGGGATGCATCAAACATGAGAAAATATGAAGGAAAAAAGTGAGTGGATGCATCACTGAGCATTGTGGTGTATAAATTGTCTCTTAACACAAATATACCTTATGTAAGAAAATGCTGCTTCTTTAGGGAATTCGTATCACTCCGCTGACTATATATTTTATCTTTCTCAACTAACCAACACTGCCTAATAGAGAATATTTTATGGTACAGAGACTAATAATGCTGAAATAAATATTTTTTGCAAAAGAAATGATCCTATGAATAACAAATTCAGATACTGACAAAAGCCCATAGTTATTAAATCCAGAAAGAATACACGGAAAACATACCACACCAGGATACAATCGTTTGAAGTTCTCAACAATTTCCTGCTTCTTCTTACGACGAGAGTCCTCGTGTTTGTCAACTCTGGCATCGCCCAACTGCTCAACAACACTTTCCAGCTCTCGCTGCAACTCTTGTACTCTTTCCTTTGACATTCCAACATCCGACTGCAGTTCCTCACGCATACGTCGCTGCTCTTCTAGAGCTGTCTCACTACTCCTGAAATGGATGACGAAAGTTTAATGCATTAGTCGATGTGAAATCTTGAACCAGAAACAGTGCTATGACTTGCATTTGAAGGGGTCAAAGTAGAGCAGGCACAAAATTAATGCTTGAGCAAAAATTTACAAAAAATTAGTAGCTGCTTCCAAGAACTAGGAGCTAGAATATACATCAGAAATAGAAATTAGACATATTTTTTGTTTTGTTTTGTTATGAAGTGGAATGCTCGTTGCTTTCACAAATATGATCAGAAATATATTTAAAGTTACATCTGCAAGTCCAGTACTGTTACCAGAATATTTATTGTGGCTATGCATAAGCCTCATTGTTTTAACATTGAAATCACAGACTCTCCAAGATGTCTCCCACCCTTTCAGGTTCAAATATCTTCCTCAATACTCTGTTCTCAAAGACCCTCAATCTATGCTCCTCCCTCAAAGTCAGAAATCAAGTTTTTCACCCATACAGCACAAGGCAAAATTACATTTTTGTATGTTTTAACATTTGTCCCGCGCCGTATCCACGCGGTCTGAGGCATCATGCTTCAGACCGGCGATATGGAACGCACGCTGGTTCGAGTCTCGGGGGAGAAGAAATTTTCTCACAAGCTTTTGACCAGTGTATGGGACCGGTGCCAACCCAGCATCGTGAGGAAATTGGGGAGCTACAATGAGTAGCGTAATCTGGTCAGGAAAGCTAGCAATGGCTGGGAGTTCGTCGTGCTGACCACACGTCACTCTATATCTGGTTGGATGATCATTCACCTCTGCTTAGGCATGTGAACGTGAGACCAGCAGTCAAGCTAGTCGGCTTTGGCTCTCTGGAGCTGTTATGTCACGGATTTTTAATTTAATGTTTTAACACTTAGTTTTTTTAGATATGAGATGGGAGGACAAAAGATTTTGGACTCAATGATAGTTTATATTCCCTGAATCTAATCTGCTCTTGATTTCATCATGAATACCATTCTGACTTGTTAGTGTGATCCCCAATTACTTGAATTATGTCATGTTTTCAAACAATTCATTAGCTATCCTTATACTTTGGTTCTGTCCTCAATTCTGATGCCAAGGCATCTTGTACTTTGTCTTTTCTGCATTTATATCTAGACCAACATCCCTATTAGCCCTCAAGAGTGTTTCTGTGTTCGCTTTTATAGTATTTATATTACCGTCCAACAGATTAATACCAGCACAGACCAAAAGCTGATGTGTCTCATTCAATTCCAAACTGCCTTGATTTTCTTGGACTTTCCTGATGGCATATTCTAAGGCAAAATTGAGAAGTAGCGGCAACAGAGCATTTCTGTTTACTTAAAAACATTCTAATTAGCATGACTAGCCTCTTACATACACCAAATTCAAGCAAAATATTGTAAAGAGCTTAACTGTATAACTTCTCATATTAAGGCAGCAATGTATTGGATTCATGGGGAAATTAATTTTCTTTACTACTTGCAATCACACACAAGAACAGTACTCACTTGATGTGTTCAGCTAGTTTCTCAATACGCTTCATAGCTTCATCTTTCTCATGACCCTTTTGTCGCAGCCGGTTCTCCAATTCAGCTTTCTTCCTGAACTCATTATCCAGACGGTCTTGGTCAGACTTCTGCTCTCGATTCACTGAGTCCAGCTGTTGCAAGTACATGGCCGACTGTTTTCCGGCTTCCTCCTTCAGCCGGTGGTACTCCGCAACCTACAGAAAACAGTCAGGACAGTTGATGGTTGGATAAAATCTGACTGAAATACAGAAAAAACTAATGAATGCCGTGTCAATACACGTCTTTCCACTCACGTCATAATTACATGACAAATTACTGACTACTCGTTCAAGTTACCTCTAGCACGCTGAGCATTTCAGTAAAGTTCAGCAATCTTCTAGTGATTTACCTGTGTGATGTGTTACCCACATTATATTCCATTTTAAATCTGACACACATTGTTTAAAAGTTCTACTGAAATGACACTGTCAGAACAGGAGTTTTGCCAGGACAAAAGGACTACGCAGCAGTTAGAACTGGGGATACAAATGAACACAAACATAAGAGACTAGTACTAAACAATCAGTCATAAGTATATAACGAATTTAAGGACTCACATTCCGGTCTCAAGGTTGGGTTCTCAAAATATGCATCTCTGTGGCCTAAAAACCACGTAGCAAGTGGAACTCAGTGTCTATATATGAACTGCTTCATCAGAATGTCAAAATGTAAAATTGATACTGAACTGATGACAAATCAAAATACTCAGACCTTGAAAGGCAAAACATTTGATGTGGAAACAACTGAGCACAATCCAACAGAGCAACTGGAAAGCAAGGAAGGATCCAGGCAGGAATGGTGAAAGAAGTGGAAGAATCTGAAGGAGCCTATTTTGAATGGTTAGCATTCTATACCTGCATGTACATTTTCCTGGGCCTCATATATATATATATACTTCTTGTAACTTACCTGTCGCATCAGACTAAAAGATTTTAAAACAGTGGCAAGACAAGTCCACATTCAAACTGACCTGGGCATCTTCCAGATGCACGTCCTTTCCCTGACTCTGGGACTCCCCAGCAACCATATCTTCATACTCCTTCCTCTTTTTGTCCACTTCTGCAAGCTCATCCTCCAATTCACGAATATCCTGCTCATGAGCTGCATCCGCCTTCTTTGCTTGTGCTAGAGACTTTCGTGCCGAGTCTAATTTCTTCTGGATATGTGCAACACGTTCCTTTGACTTGATGAATGCTGGACGCTTTTTATTGATCTCCACTTCCTGAAAAATTATGTTCATAGGAAAATAATAACTTAAAATGAGAAGAGCAATACATCATCATCCAAAAAATAAAATTTAAAATCAGTAACATAAACATAACAAGCAATTTGAATTCCCAGCAAACTTAGGGATATGGAAGGTTTTCAGTATCCATGGTTTACTGAGATCAGAAAATCCCCTTTAAGCAGGGAATTTTTGTTTATAAGTACGTAAATACAAGGTAATAAGCATCCAAACATCTGACAGTACCACAAATTAGTAAGTAACTGGAGAGGGTGGCATGCTGTCCATCACGTTTCAGAAAGAATCGTTTCCCAACAATCAAAAATACAAATCCTACACCCATTTTTAACTAATGATAAGACAGCATTAACGTTTATTACAATACTTCAATGTAGAACCTTAAATTAGTGTCATTAGTGTTGCTACCACCTCACATGTTTGTGCATTCCCCATGATTGCAGGGAATTGAGAAGGATGAGTTTAAAGTAGCCTTCAATGGCATGATGTCCACACCAAATTTCATCAAAATCCATCCAGATGTCAAATCATGCAGACAGACAAACGAATATAAAGACAGATACGGTCAGCCCTGTATGTGTTCATGCACATCACACAAATAATACACAAAAATGATAAGACACATCATCTATTCTGGTTACATTGTATGCAGTTTTGAGGACACTGCAAGAATGGGGAAGTGGACACTGGTATCTGTAAACTTCATTTCATAATCATGATGTCTTTCCATAATTTGCAGCACCATAAACTTTAAAAATCAGGCCGTCTGTCGCTAGTGGTGAATCTGTCTGATATAGGAATTCAAACATTCTTCCATCCTTTTTGTCTCTGAAATACAATTTTATTTCACACTTTCAACACGTTCCTACAGTTTGTTTGTATAGCCTGAAATGTTATTTATAATGCTATTAGACAATTTCTCTAAAATAGCTCATTTTTCCCACCTGAATAGCCAGATGGCTATAACACACATCTTAAAATTCTCTGTACATAAAATCCTGTATATGTTCCTATTCAACACACAAACAAACAAATAAAGCAGGACTCCTAATAAGACATGAGCTATATTTACACAGTATAAACAACATCTATTTCACTTTTCCTAAGAACTTACCAATTCCCGTATATCTTGCTCCACTTTGGCTAATTCTCGACCAAGTTTGCCACATTCTTTCTTCTTCTCTTTCAGCTGTTCCTCTGCTTTTTCTTTCCGTTTCTCCACCTTCTTCTGTTCGTGTTGCTTCCTCTCCAGATCCTGCTCGTGATGCTCGATATCTTTCTCGTTGTGATAGAGTCTGAATAACTGAAGCTCCACCTGCTTATCTGACTGCAAACAGAATTCAGGTAAATAAAAACAATTCATTATGTCAGAAATTTTTATTGAAAGTGATGAGTACAACTGCAAAGATCACTGCTGTACATGAGAATGACGTTGCAAATCATCACCAAGGTCGGCTTCAACGGGGAAGTCAGGGTTGGGATTAGTATACTCAGAAGAACAACAAAAGCAAGTACAATATCAGCACCTGATAAACGCAGAAGTGACATATCTCAAATCCAAAGTTGAAAGATACTGTGACCTTATTACATATGTGTCAAATGTTCTACGGACAGCATAAAGAAGTATGCTGGTGCAAGCAGATGCTCCTGATTATGGACCACATTTCACTGTGAAGCTGCCATCACAAAGCTTGATTTCTGAATAATGCATCTTCTGGTCCAATGTCCTGCCATAAAATAGCCACATTGATGCATAAATCTATCAAACTGCTGAAAGTGTGATTAGTGGCAAAGGTATACTTTCCACCTCAGAGTTCTCCGTCTACTCCTGCACCAGTCTGGTGCCTTAACATGGTGTGCTCATGTTACGTTCATTGGGTGGGCACAAATTAATCATTCATGTTTTTTTTCAATTATTTGTGCATCTTCTCCCCTTCAGTAGTCTAAATAATCAGCAGTTTAATATGCAAATTTTAGCCCTCATACATGGAACATTGTGCTGTATTTTTCTTTACAAACTTTTGATATTGCAGGTTTCAGACTGTGATAATTAAATTGCATAAAAATTAAAAATACAAACATTAACAAATATACATGTACGATACTTCTGCAGGCATAAGGCAGCCAAAAGCACTATATTACGGTCCTGTAATTAAACTGCTGTGAGTATTCCTTGACTAAACCTAGATTATCGTACCAAATCCTCCTTCAGTCTCTGGTACTTCTCGGCCTCCTCTTTCTCCAGCTTCGCTTCCTTTCGCTCAGCAGCGATGCCTTTCTTCTTCTGATAGGTGAACTGCGTCTCCTCCTCCGCTTTCAGCATCTCAGAACGAAGCCGTTCATATTCATCCTTCAGAACACCTGACCTGATCATAAGTACATATTTAATTTGTAGAAGAGAGAAAGAATTTTGAGGTTGAAATGTACCTGATATGTGTATATTACACACTGATATAAAAGAAGATATTAAAATTAATAAACATTAATAATTGTAATGTCCCAACAATTAAATCAGTAATTTGGTTACTAGCACAATGGTGAAACTTTCTCACAGTTACCACTACTGGTATAGAAAAAGCAGATGACATCAGACGATGATACTGCAGCAACAAATAAACAGTGGCGTGATAAAAATAGCACAGTTCACTGTTTCCAGTCCTGCATTGAATCGCACTGTGCACCTCAAGCCATATCAAACAAAGTTCATCATTTGAGTTTTTCAACTATGTTTCTGGATAGCATTTTAAAGTAGGCTACAACCACTTCTTTCCACATCCTTTCAGATACATCATTCACAAATTTCCCCATCTGATGCAACAAAGAAAATATTGAAAATCTGGCTGACAGGATGAGTACAGATGATTCAGCAGTCAGATCAGCTGGATTCAAACCAGGTATCAGTACCATATTAAAAAATGAGGAGACCTAATTATAAACATACCCACTGATTTCTTCAAACAGAGCTGTTCTTTCTTTAGGATTCTTCATGGCAATTGACTCCACTGCTCCTTGAAATACCAAGAAATTCTTGGCCTTCGCATTAATGCCCAGTTTCTCCAGATCCTGAAGATACACTTGACTTGTTACAGCCTGCAAGATCGTCATGAGAAAATCACAATTAATTAATGTTTTGTAATCAGAACCATTACAAAAAACACTGACAAAATTATATTCATTTGCCTGTGAGGTCTCAGATCACAAATTAAACAAACAGCAGTCTAAGTTAAGTACAGTTGATTCCAAGACTTTCTGACACTTTGAATGCAGTACGGGGTTAAATTCAAAGAATAAGCATGTGAAAGCAATCTAAACAATGAAAACAGGTTAACAAAATCAAAAGTAAAGCTGTCCCACTATACGCCATGCAGGCACTTGAGGGGGAGAGCAGTATAGCTCATACTCATTCTTAACCTTGGTACTGGATGGGGTGAGTGGTCAGTGTCACGCCCCAGCCACACGCTTTACCCCCAGGTAAAGACCCCAGTACCCACTGGATAGGAGGCTGGGTGGGCTCCAAAGCCGGTCGAGATGCAGAGGCTGGAGGAAAAATCCTCTGCTCCCATTGAGGATAGAACCCTGGTCGTCCAATCCGTAGTCAGTCACTATACTGACTGAGCCACCCTGACTGAGATGCAGAGGCTGGAGGAAAAATCCTCTGCTCCCATTGAGGATAGAACCCTGGTCGTCCAATCCGTAGTCAGTCACTATACTGACTGAGCCACCCTGACTCCCAAATAATGAAAACAACAGCAAACTAATTGTGTATATAAAGACTGATTCCTGCAAAAGTTGGCTTGCACATAAATTGGCTTGTTCTCAAAAACAGAGTTCTCATTTTGAGTTTCTAGCTTAAAAATATGCAATAAATACACCATATTTTGTAACATACAGCACTCTGAGTATGTTTACGTAAAACCAATTAAATCTGTACATCCATATAGACCCCAGGAATTTAAATTCTGCACCTTAAAGATTAAGCAGTGATTATGTATTTGTCCAACTGCTGTTCCAGAGGAATGCCTTAGGGCAAATATTGCTGCAGCTGAATTGATGTCTCAGACAGGCTTACTGAAATGAATGGGCTAAGTATTTCAACCAACAAAAAGAGTATGCTGTTAGTAAAATAGGACTTTTAGTTTTAATACGGAGTTAATGTCTTCCATACTTCATCACATATCACCTGAAGTGTAGCTTACATGGTTCCAGTACTGAAGCATGCTTGTATTAGAATATATTATGCAAATACAGAACACTGCGATATGATACATCATAAAACACTTGATTCCTGATAATGCGTGATGAAATGGCCACCTGCATAACAGATACAAAAAAAATTAAATTAAAATTAGTTACCTCTCCATTAATTCGGTGTTCAGAAGATGATCCCTGTACTACTCTGGTAAACCTTTTCAATGTTCCATCTCCCAGCTCAAATACTGCCGTCACGGATGCGCTGCAAAACACAAGAAGCTGTCATTAATTTTCAATACTTAATACTTATGTGAAACTGAAACAGGGAATATTTCCAGAAAGTTGTACAAATTTTGTTACTCTAACAACATTCATTCCACTCATGAATATATTCATAAAATAAAGATGTATAGGTCTTAAAGCCCCACTCTTTTTCTAGAATGATAACTGCTTCACCATATTTTTCTTGGTTTATTTAATAACGCACAGCAGAATGACAGAATAATATGTATTTCTTGTAAGCTGGGTGGTATTTATCATCGTTATACAAATCATCTTCCTATCTATGCACCTATGAAGACTGGTGCAGGTAAATATAATTACTGACAGAGCAGTACAAACAGTACTGTGAACAGCAGCCAGTGCAGTCAGATGATGATTGTGACTAGTGCCATCTGGAACATTTGTGATACTCTGTTTGCATATGAAGTTCAATAATGATGATAATGACGATGACGACATAATAGGCAATTTGATGTAAAGCCATGCAGTGTGTACAGCTACTACTTATGCTCATCAGGCACTTCATCCATCAAATTGCAGCATGTAAAAGGACCCTATCCTAAAAACTAAGGATTTGCACACCCATATTTATATTAATTTATATAACTGTTTTTGGATGTACAACTCACCACTAAAATCTGCATGTCCACTATCAAATCACAATGTATGTCAAGTAGGCTATAAGAACTTCAGGCAATGGACAATAAAACATTGGTATAATCAATGATTAATATGAAGCCAAAACAGATATAATGCAATCTCACTTACGTTCGAGATACAGGCTGACCAATCGATGCACCATGAATGAGATCACTCAGTCTCTTCACTCGTAAACTGGATGTTTTCTCGCCCATAACAAAACTGACAGCATCCATAAAATTGGATTTTCCTGTAGCAAAATTCAAAACTATGCTGACACAAATGTTGAACAGTGTGAACATAATACAAACATACGACCTTTCTTGCCTCTTATATTTCCTTCACTGAACACTGTTGTTTTCAGAGCATATATTCCATCAATTCCCAAGTATCACGTAAAAATTTTATTAGATTTCAATGCAAACATGAGAAGGGAATAAATTTTAAGACTGACAATCTGCAATGAATCTGGGATCATTACATAATTAATATCGAATATGATGTACATGGTGAACAAGATACAGCATATAAGGTAATGAAACAACTCAATTAATCTGATAGGGACACAGCATTCATCAATAACATATCAGAAGAGGAGTGCTTAAAATTTTATAAAGATTTGCAGATAGATAAAACAGAGAATGAAATTGACCCAGAGCTAAATGATTTTCTGACTGCTGACCCTAATGAATTGGACAAATCAGAATGAATACTTATGTCATTTAAGAATAAAAAGTACCCAAGTAACGACATCAATACTGAGCTCCTGAGGAAGTCGCCCTAAAAGAGTGGATCTACAAACATACGACTACACGATGCAACAACCCGGAACACAAAATCTAAGTACCTTTGGCAAGATACCTCTCACCTGGAACGCAATTTTTCTGCGAATTTCAATGCCTTCAACCATATTCCGAGCTAAGGAATAATATCGTAACCACTTAAAATGAAGTTATAGTACATGTCAACCTACCAGAGCCATTTGGTCCGATTACTGCAGTGAAAGACTTTAAGGGGCCAATAGTTACATTTCCCTTGTAGGATTTGAAGTTTTCAACTTCAATGGAAACTAACACTGCCGGCATTGCTAAATTATACATAAGAAAAAGCAATAATCACGGTAACAGTCACTTATACGTAACTCGAAAGTTACTGCATTTGACACAACACCCCATTAATACATACTACCACAATAAAATACCAACGGGCATAATACAAATCACAGGTTACATGAAGAAACGGAATTAAATTAACTTGGGTAAACATTGCAGTCCATGATACTCTGTGATCACATGTAATTTTAGGACCACGTACTACGGAAGTATACATCAGGTCCAGTGTTCTTTGAATGGACTGTACTTCCTGGAGGCATACGACAAAATTTTGTACAAATGACTTGCCTAGCCTTCGCTTTGACAATTTCACCGGCAAAAATTGTTGCGTCCACTGTATATACATAAGATAAGCAACGCACACATACACAATTTAACCATTTTAACTCCGTAGTACATTAGGCGCTGCCAACCCCAGTCTCGCAGCTGCTCCTTCCTGTATCATGCGAAAGTTAGCAGCACACATAATATCATAGATTAATACTCAAATAAGTTCCTGCAATCTTATGTGCATGACGATCTATCGTCGGTTTTCTGATTTACATATCCATATTTTGGAAGTTAAATACATTAATGATAGTTTTTTGATAGCCTGTGATATTACGTAACTTTGTGTTTATTTGTTGTTGTAATCATAGTGTTGTTTGATGACAACACATTTGGTGATAATCTGTACTGTAATATGGCTGCTCTTGCTACAGAAGACGTTGCCTCTGATGACTTACAGTAAGTAAAATTAAACTCATTTACGTAATATTCTATTTTGTCTTAATTAAAGAAATGCTTTGTCACCATTGCTTTTAAACTTTACTTTAAAATACGCCATTATGTATGTCCAAGAAAGCAAAGGTGGTTTGGAGTTGGTGGGACACCAGTTTCTGGTCTATGCTGATGATGTTAATTTACTGGGTGAAAACATGAAAAACGTGAAGAAAAACAGAAAAGTTTTCTCAATACCCCATCGTTTTCTCTCCTAGGCCCAAATATCTTCCTCAACACCCTATTCTCAAACACCTGCAATCGTTTACAATTATATTATTTAAAAATATAAATGTCCGTGGTTTTATGAGCATTGGTATGAAACTGTTAAACATAGACATGCTAGTAACTGGGGATGCTGTGTGGGAGACTTTGTGAAGCATACAGGACTTTACTTCCATAAGGTCGGCTACACAAAGAATTGGGTAGCGACCTTTGTGTTTCAGACTGAGTTTCTCCATTTCTCATGGACTTTCATGATTGCGTACTCTAGAGAAAAATTGGAAA